TTTCAATTTCCATCGGGGCTCTCAAGTGAAGAGTTGCGCTCTATGCGCCGGGGAGCCGTCCCTGCCAGAATACGGGAGCCAAGCAAGGACCTCTTTGCTGCGTGTGGAAGAAGTAGTAGTAGTAGTAGTAGTAGTAGTAGTAGTAGTAGTAGTAGTCTTCTTGGAGCGGAGATATCAGCAATCATGGGATCGACCGTGAAAATGTGGCCAGGCGCTTCCAACCGCAGCGGGTCCAGTCGGAGAAGGCAGCAGAATTAGAATTCAGCAGATTAAGAACAGTTTTACCAGCAGTTCATGAAGCCTTAGATCCTTAGGTGCAGGCTTGAAGAGTCAGCCCCGAGCACCTTCGACTAAAAATGATGCCTGAAGCCCTTCTCCCGCATAGGCAGTTGAGGGTTCATGTGTTCAAGAGGTCCATCGGAGTTGTTCTTCTGGATCACAAAGGTGTGCGCGCGATGTACCGAACGGAAGCCGGGCGCAAGTAATGAAGCCAGAACGCAAGTGAGGTCCGCGGTGTAGCCAACTATGGGGCTACTGCCAGAAAAGGTGGGTTGCTTCATGGATTATAGGGCTTTAAGACTTGAAGCTTCAGAGTGGAACGTCTGGAATAATGAAAAGCATCCTTGTCCAAGGTTGCTGGTTTGCTGGAGGGTGTTGGCTAGAAGCTCTCCGGTATCGTTTCTCGAGTCCTGGTCTCCTTCACAGGCCTCGTGTGCTTTTCAGTACAACTCTCCTGTCCCTAGTTTCCAGTACTACCTTTCCTGGTTCGCGCTAACGAGTACAAGCCTCTCCCATCGCAGACGCCTTCTGTGATGTTCCCTTTCTGAGGAGTCTTTATCCGCGCCCCTACCACCCGATATGGCCTTGGCAAAGGCCGCGTGGAAACTGCACTATGAGGCGAGGTCCAGGGTGTTTCCCGCAAGATGACGTTTTGACAGTGTGACACATCAGTTTGGGGCTACTTCTCCATAAGTCTTCACAGCTGCCGTGTTCCGTTCGCACTGAGACCGGCTTTCCAGTGAAGCTGCGCCAGGTATCGCCACAGAATGTGGACACCAAAACTGCCAAACCGGCACTGCGATGATCGCGAGGCGCATGTGTTGACTTCGAAGGTACCTTCAGAAACGACTTTTCTAGCCACAAAACGTCCATGCAAATCTGTTGATCCCCCTTGCTGCACTCAGACTGTCTGCGCATCCCCTTGAAGGTTCTTTATTTTGCACATGCACCACGTGGCGAAGGGAAGAGTACATCCAGTACTCGGCGAGCTGAGTGCTTGGAGGCACCAATCCAAAATCAAACTCTGGCAGCTGTCTGTCCACATCCCGGCAACGAGTCGTGGGTTTGAGCTGGCGATCGCGGTGCTGCGGTGGATTTCTTACACTAGGGAGCTTCGGGCACGTCGTTGCGGAGATTGAGGGTCATCAAAAGTGACGAGAAATTGGGTCTGCCAAAACGATCTGCACAGCTGCTCGGCCTAGTGCATCATGTGTGCAAGGCGAAGCAAGAGACTGTGATCTTGTGAGAAAAGAGCCGCGCTTGCCATCTTGCAACCTGTACTTGCACCTCTTCGAGCACAAGCAAATCGAATCTACATCGGCGGGCAACAGGTGTGCAAAAAACTCCCCCCCCCCCCCGAATGGTGATCCCGCAGAACGAGATAACTCCTTAGAGTCTTAGGCCGAGATGGTCCGAGCGACTGCTTTCTTTCCACTTGCCAGAAGCTTTCTGACATTCAGCCGCACTTGGGCCCGCAAGCAACAATCACGCGCATATCCGGCATATCCTTCAGCCAAGCAGTGCGAGGTCGTCGAAGGTCTCCGAACCTGATGGCCTGACGGTGTCGCGAAGCCATGGGGACAGTCTTGAGCCAAGCAGGCGTCTGCTGTGCCCCCTGGATGAGAGAAGTCTGCCTTTACGGTGGTTCGTGTTTCCCTCCTGTCGATGAGCTTCCAAGCCGAGGGCCTGCTGTTCATGAGGGCTACAGCCGTAAAATCCCAAATCTGATCCTTGGGCTTCATCTCCGAAGTCCACTACCTCAGCCCCACTTCAAGACCCTGCACATCGATGGATCAGACAGGAGAGCAAGTGCATCCGAACGCGGGCTGTTAGCTTTGCATCCCCCAACACATCCTCCGACGTTGTTCGGTTTGTTCAAGTGCGAGACGCTACGTCTTCGAGTCTGGATGCTGATCTTGTTTCCGCCAGACACTGCACACCACGGAAGCCTTAGCAAACCCTGCAGTTCTTCAGAACCGAAGATAGGCTTCTGTCGAAGCTGGGGCTTTGCAATTGGGTATGCAGATAAGGAGCTGACTGGTTCGAGTATGAAGCTTGCATGCTGGTGTTGAGAAGGTAGGGTGGTATCTAGAACCAGGTAAGTAGCGGCATTCCGAGTCCCAGATTCCTGAAGGGACCTCGATAGAGCCGAGTAGACCCTGGGCTGTCGGTAGGATCTTTGTTACGTGGCCCATGTAAAGGTACAGGAACGGAGTCTCTTCTGCAGCAGCTTCGAATTCCTCTGGACGTTTGTTTCTCGTTTTCCAATCCCCGAGGTGCTACAGATTCGGATTGACTGGGCATCGGGGTTTTCAGCTAGGACTTGAGTGATTCATCGATTTTGGCAGCTATCTTTCACGGTTTCGGGACGGTCTGGGCTCAAGTGCAGTCCACCTCAGGACCCCGAACTTCAGAGCCTTCGTTGAACCCAGCCCTTTCTCTCTCCAGGGTCAACCTAAACCATCAGGGCCAGAGCGGGTTTTGGTTGGTTGGCTTTGTTCTGGGGCGTGCTCGGTGGAGAACGAACCTATGTTGGGGAGCTGCAAATCCGAGGGGTATAGAGTTCTGGGATCTAGTTGAGAAAGGTTTCTCAACGGTTGTGGTGGGTCGGGATGAACTTGCTCATGCTTTGCAGCAGTCCTGGGGCCTTAGAAGAACGTGATGGGGCTTTTTTTTTATCGTCTGCCACCAACGGTACATTCTCTTCTGATTCGTGAACTCGGCAAAACGCACGACCGAACCCTCCGTGAAAGAGAGAATTCATTTCACACGTTGAAGTCCGAAAGCCCAAAGCTCGCATGCCATCGCCTGCCCAATCCCAGGTTGGTCGCGACAGGACAAGCTACCAGTCACTGGCGTCTTGACAGCGCTTGGAGACCCCAGAGCAGGAAGCCGAACCGCCAATCAACAGGACTAGAGAGTTCAATCTCCGTGCAGAACTGTTGCAGTATGGAGATCCAAAGCTCAGGCGGTCAGCAGCTCCTCTGCTGCTTGGCGAAACGGCTCAACTGGCTCCCCCGGCTATCGAACACAAATCAACAGAATTCGTTCAAGATAGCGCCAGAAAGAGCTCACAAGGTCGCAACGCGAGGTGCTCCACAGTCACGACCTGAAGCTTTAGCCTCTGATCCAGAAGCCTCTTCAGGGGAGCCCTTGCTATCAATCGATTGGACCACTGCCTGCGCCGCAGTTCGTGGAGCAGGAGGCGTGAGAGAGACGGTCGCTTCAGCATGTTCGGAACCGTCAACCCTTTGCAGGGTTGGGCGTGGGATTATCTGACCCGGGGCTTGGACTTGCTGGAACCTGGGCTCTCGTTGCCACGGCTGCAGGAGCTCTTCGGAGAGCACCGCGTGTCGCGGCCCAGCCGCTTGGCGGTGCCAGGGTTCCTCAGGGCCGGGCTTGAGGGTTGTCCAAAGGGGCGCCCCTTTCCAAGGCTGTGCCTTTGGCAACAGCTGCCGCCGCAGCAACCCTCAGCACTTCCTGGATGAGAGCCACCCCACGGACCCTGACCATCAGGCCTCGGACTCGAACTCCAACAAAGCCGCAGCATTGCAAGACCTCCTTCTGCCTTCGCAAGAGGCTGGCCATGTGCAACCCCCTGCCGTCCGGCCCGGGCTTCACTTGGCACAGAGGCCGAAACAGGAAGTGGTTCTTCCTGGGGTCCTTCGGGGGTTTTTCTCAAGCCTTTCATGGCCTGCCTCGGAGTCTTTCCCTTTCAACCTAGCCTCGCTAACCTGTCCTGTGCTGATGCAAAGTCCAAGCTGGCAGGAATGGCAGCTTTGACTGGGTCCGGACCGGCAATGAGAAGGCTGGTCGAACTGCAGCTGGCAGCGAGTGTATTCTGGTTGTTGGCTTCCGAAGTCTGGTAGTCGGAGTTCAGAGCGCGAATCGTGTCTGTTGCTGGTTCCTTTGTGAACCCCTCGTCTAGAACAGCGAAACCTGCATTCTCAGGGTTGGAGCCCTTGGGAGTAGAAGCAACTTCTTAATTTGCGGTCGTAGCTCCGGACCGGTTCTCTGCTCGGCTCCAAGTCATGAGACCCCCCTCTACGTCCGCCTGTGCCAAAGTCTGAGCTCTGAAGCCGCTGCGAGCCTTTCGAGCCTCGATGAGAAGCCGACAACCTATGCTTTCTCGGGAGGCCGACCGAGACCTGCGTGGAGAAGTGGCTTCTCTCAGCCTGGGGGTGCCACCCCGGCGAAGGGTTCAAGTCTTTCTTGTGTGACTGCCCAACCGATTGGACATGGGATGAGATGATGTGGTGCGTGGGTCCTTCCCCGGTCAGGTGTGTCAAGCCAGAGGCTACTGGCTGGGCAATGCGAAGGTGGCACTGCAGCAGGTGGACAACCTCCTGCAAGGCGGCGCCGTGCACGAAACCGTCTTCTCAGAGAGTAGCAACGCGACAGGCAGCAGGCGGCAGATGCATGAGAATCGGCGATCCAGCATACGCACCGCTTAGATCGGCAAACAACAAGTTAAACGATGGTAGAAAGGGAAGGTATATGGGTTGTGTGAGAGATGGGTCGACAAGTCGACTGGCAGACAGACAGATGGAGAGCATACAGCGGAGTGGTAACGTCTACCACGGTCTGGTGTTTCTAGCACAGAGAAATGTGAGAAAGCTAGACATGTGACAGAGAGGCGACATAGGAGACTCTCATACTAGATCCACTCATTTAGTAGAAAGAGCACATGTCTCTTTCGGCGTATAATTACAGAAAATGGATATGCAGCTATGCACATACATCCGCATGTCGTCCCCTCCAAACAGGCAAAAACCCCTCCAAATTACTTTTGGCTCTAGG